TGTCAATACTTAAATGGGTAAATAGGCTGCCTTGGGTAATTACAGGCCTGCCAGCCAATGACTGACCCAAACCAAAATAGAGCAAGAGCTACAACAGGATCTTCCAGAAAGCAGGAACAACTCAACCCCACGCTTATTCACACAAACCCACAAGGATGAAAACAAAAGGCTGCGTTGCCACATCAAGGGCCTTTGCTCTTGGAAATGCTGTTTTTCAGGAAGACTTGGTGCCTGGCCTGAAACATGTCTTGTATTCCCAGAAAGACAGGCAAGAGACTATCAAATCCGAATCAGAAAACATCGATATCCTGCAGCAGTGGGACCACTGCTGAAATAACGTGTCTCACTCCCATACCTACAATTCAGAGGTCAGAAGAGAAACCCAGGAATTACGAAGAGATTGGAAAATATGTCAGAGCGCAAAGGACTTTGCCAGCTCTTTATATCTAGCTTTTCAAAGAGAAAGGTAAAAGGTGACTTCATTCTAAACTGTGAGAGCTGGCAAGAGCATTGAAGTCCAGATAACAGGCTCTGTAATCCAGCAGCCAAAGAAATAATGAGATCCCATGGCAAGAAACAGTGATGAGACACATTTATACTAGAAAGAGGGGCCAAGTCTTCCAAGGGCTCCTCCAGACTGGGGGTGGGAGCTCTCCACAACCACCCAGCGTAGCTTATAGCAGGCGGTATGTTGAGAGGGGCACAGCAGCCTGTGCCTCCCCAATTCTTCCTGGCCTTAAGGAGCCACTGCTGGGGCCACCCATCTGCTGAAAGACACCAAGACACACGTGCACCACAAAACGCCGCCACACGAGCTGGGCAAAGCAGCCGTCCTCTGGTGGGAAACACCCCACGGCAGAACCTGGCGGAGGGGAAAGGTTGTTCTGGACACTGTAAGAAGAGCTAAAGAGATGAGAACCCTCGCAAAGCTCAGAGCCAGAGTTCAGAGCCAGGCAGCTCCTATCGAAGCTTAGACAAGGCTGAGTGGCACGCAAGCAGCAAGATGAGAGCACCTTCCTCCCCCTCCACCTGCACGTCCTCCTCAGCTGGAAGAAGCACAACCTCCTGCAGGCGCAGGCCCAAGCTTCCTCCCCAAACGCTCCAAAAATAGGCCAGTTTGAGCTTCTTTGCACTGCCGAGACGCCTGCCAGCCACCGCACCGCCAAACCCAGGGACATATTGCCACGAACTGCAACGGCCAGGTGGACATGTCCCCCCTAGGGCGCAATTAGCCACCTCGCCGGCTGCCCGAGCGGCTCCAGGGGCAGCAGATCCAAGGCTGTCGGCCTCGCAGTGCTTGCAAGAGGCCAAACACGGATGCAGAGAGATTCGCAAACACGCGGCCCGCCGCAGAGAGCTCATTAAACCCAAGCCAGAGCGAACGCTCCCCGGAACGGCAGGAGGTTATGGTTTAATAACCCCCTTGCAGCGTCGTGAAAATGGGCCACTGGGGGAGAAACACTTCCCAGATGCTCTCATTGACGTCCCCCCACCTGCAAGGAGGGCACTTCTGCTGCTGAGAAATGCTGTCTCCACCGTCCCCGTGACACCCATGGGGGCATTAACCCTCACCCTGCTGGCACAGCCTCTTCGCTTCGGGACGAGGGTAACGAACAGCTGAAGTTCATCAGCCAGGTGAGCAGCCAACACAGCCCACATGTTTCTGGCAGGCACAAAAACTGCAGCATGGGCAGCGATTTGAAGAGCTTGGATAAAAGAGGTGGGACTGAGGATTCATGGGCCTTGTTCTCAGCCGTGCAGAGGTGAAAGCAGGGCACACGTGGCTGGCAGCAGGGAGAGGCATTGGCAGGAGCTATCAGGAGAGCAACACGCTGGAGCGACGCTAAATAACCCCAGCTAAATAACCCTCAAATAATCCAGGCTCGGAGCAGCAAGCCAGCAGGGTCTCCTGGGGTTCTCCAGAGGCAAATCAGGCCAGTTACTGCTGCTGTCAGGCTGCCATTGCAAGAGGAAGAATTTCTTCCTTTAGCTGCTGGGCTGGCTTGGAGGATTGCAGCCATTTCCACACGGTTGCCCAAAGCCTTGGCTGCATCCAGGGCGAATGCACAGAGATGCCGCCAGCTCCTGAGCAGCCGGGAGCTCACGGGGTGCCCCAGGGCAGGGCAAATCTGGGCAACAGCGACTTTGTCTGGCAAGGCCAAACCAGGGCACATTCTCCACGTGGGTCCCTTTGCCGCAGCTCCCCTCACTCATTCCCTCTGGCTCCACATCCCCTCATCCCTCTCCTGGCCCTGGTCTCTACTCCCCAGATCCTCACCTCCTGCTCCCCAGAACCTCCATAAGCCCCTTCCCAGGGCCCTTCTCTTCCCTTTCCCCTTCTCTGGGTTTGCAGCAGCTCCCGAGCCCATCCCTCCCCATCCCCACCTCCAAAGTCTTCCACTTCCCTCCTTCCAACCCAACTCCCGGGAGCAGCTCCCCACCTGCCTCCTCCACCTCCCTCCCCTCCGTCTCCCACCTCCTCTCCCTCAGCTCCTTCCCCTTATTAGCAGGCTGCTCCGCTGTCCTCCCATCCCACAGGAACAGCTCCATTGGAGCCGATTCCTTCCCTCGGCTGGAGATGGGTGTCTCATCTCGGCCACTGTGGCCCCTCGGAGCCCTCCTCTCTCCTGTCATCCCATTCCCTTCTCCCCAAATCCCAGTGGGACGTGAGGGGACAGCTGCGCCTGACCCACAACTCTCATTAAAAGCGTCTTTTCTTCCAAGCAGACACCGTGGGGAAAAAATAAATTAATTAATTAAAATAAATCTGTCTCACTGCTGTCTCAGTTTCCTTAAGGGAGGCCAGCACGGGGTTGGGGAAGAAGGAGGGGAGAAGAGAAGGGATGAAAGAAGCTATTTGGAGAAGTCGTCTCCATGGTAACTCACATTCCCATCGCAAAATGGGCACAGGTCGCCTGTTTCCATGAAAGTTTTTTTTTTTCCCTCCCGCCTTCGTTTCTCCCTTCCCTTCCCCCTGCTTCTCCAAGCCTTCCCGCCTCCCACCAGGGGAGCAGCCAGCGGGGAACCCTGCCCTGCCGCAGCCACACGTGTCCCGGGGCCTCTCCCTGCTCATCCACAGGCCGAAAGGAGTCCCAAGAGGCCCTGCCCAAAGCAAACCTGGGGTCACTGGTGGAGCAGGGACCCTCTGGGCTTCATCTCCCTGGTCCTCGTGAAGGAGAAGCCCTGAGGGCAGGTCTCGGGTGACAACTCACAGCGGAGCTGCAAATCACCTCCTAACTCCCTCCCAAAAGGTGGCAGAAATCCCACAGTCTCCAGCACCCTTGGCACAGCACACGGGGACAGGCAAGAGCCCTGAACCCGCTCCCTCTGCCCCGAATATGCTACCGCTCAGGCCAGGAACTCCCTCCACCCGCTCCCTTCCTCACAACCTTGCACAGCTGGAATGACAACGCTCTACAAGGGTAGGCAGCAGTGTGCGCCCCTAAAGACATGCTCCCAGGGCCTGACAGCATCTCCACACAGCGGAACATCTGCTGTAACCTTCAGGACGGCACCAAAGAGAAAGGGACCCGCGCCTGAGAGCAGAGCACTCTGCTCCAGACAAACCATGAGGCGCAGATCACGCTTGGTCCCCCGATCCTCCTCTTGCTCTGGCTACTTCCCTGGATGCCGGCACTTCCACACGATTTCGTTCTTTATTCTGTTTAGAAAATGGCTACTCTTATTAAAAGTTGCCAGGTGTTCCCAGAAGAATCTGGGGGAGCCCTTTTTGGCTCTAAAGAGCTCACGCCTTGGGTGAACTATGTGCTTGCCGGGCCACATCAGCCCAGCACATCAGGCAGGTTCCAGGAGACACGGAGGATGACAGGGAACAATGCACAGACTACGCTCTCTGTGCCAATCCCTGGCAGCCTGGTGCCACCTTTAGCATGGGGTGCAAGGTGGCAATGGTCTCATCTGCCATCTCTTCTGCTGCTTCCCACAGGCAACCACGGATGGACAAGGTGGCCTGTTCCCAGCCCCGAGCTGGGATTCTGGTGTCGGCACCCAAGCAGCAACCTTGAAAAAAAAAAAAAAAAAAAATCTCCAGAGAGATTCTCACAGTTCCCCTACAGGGCTGGGATTTTTGCCAGGAAAAGCAAGTTTATAAATAGAGCGTTTCCACGTGAACAAATGAAATTGCCGGCACTCCACGGTCAAATAAGCCACAGGGTGAGCACCACCCTTCGCCAAACATCTTCCCCAACGAGGAAGCAGAGTCACCTTTTCCCCAGCTCACAACCAGACAGGGCCTTTCCTGCTCTCCAGAAAGGTCTAGGCCCAGAGGTGTCCATGTCAGGTGTGATCCATCCCCTTGTCCAACCTTCTCCCCTCTTAGAAACGCCCTCATTGCAGTTGGCCCTGGCAGCTCACACAAACCAGCCCCACACTTGACGTGAGAAGACCCAAAGCAGGGAGAATAACGAGCAGATCAGGGAAGCGGCAAGGGCTAAAACAGCCACAAGTTCTGCAGGGCGAAGGCCAGCAGCGCTGGCAGAGACGCAATCCACGTGGAGCCGAAGGACATTGAATTCAATCATGGCTTGAAATCAAGTTTTCATCAGCTCGGGAGGGGCAAAAGGTTTCTGCCTTCTCCCAGCAGGATACATTTGCCCTGTAGGTTACACTGAACCAGAAGTTTCACAGCACCATACATGACAACCAACGCGTACAAACCTGATCATAATTACTAGCCAGACTTTCAAGCAGGTTTTACCCCTCTGTAAGGGAGAAATAGAACAAACCATCAGATGAGACTTGCTTCTCCCAATCAGATGACAGCAGAAAAGACTCCCCAACCCTCGACAGTTGAATGAAAGAATGGGGGGACATCCCTATGGAGCAATTATAAGCCGGATCACAGGAGAGATCTTGCTCATGTGGTCCAAGGGAAGGCATCAAGAGGCAAGAACTGAGAACAGTCCTATCAGCCGAAGGCAAGAAGAACTTTTAACGGTGTTGTTAATGAACACGCCGCTTTCCTTGGCACAATTGCTTACCTTGATGTAGGTGTCAAGGGCTGGGTGGACGCGGCTGATTGCCAGGTGGATGGACAGCGGTGTGGTGAATGGGAACGTCGCCATGACCACGTGGCTGGGAGCGGGGAAGGAGAAGATCTTGAAGCCATACTTCTGGAATTGCTTGATCTGCTCCTCCGATGGCTTCGCATCGCCCTCGCTCAGGATTCGGCCTATGGCAAATCGGCACTTTTCTGGCGCTACCTGACCGAAGGGAACAAACAGACAGTGTCACAAAAAGAGGCTGGACACAGGCCAAAGCATCGCACGTTCACCTGCTGAGCGTGGCAGCCAGAGCACCTGGAAAGCTGAATGGCTTTTACGTGGCCAGGCTGTGCCCGGGCTCGGCTTCAGAAAGTCCTTCTCCCAGTATGGGCCGAGTTTCTCTCCTCTAACCTGCTCTGCCATTCAGTGTTCTTGCCTCCCACCCAAGGAGCATAAATCTTGGCAAAGGCTGTGGCCAGTGGGCCAGCACAAGAGCACCAGGGACAGCAAAGCAAGTAGCTGCTCCTAGCTAAGACGCTGATCTGCCCTGAAATTGTTCACAATCCTGCCAGCTTTCTAAGCTTATCCTTGAACGGGAGAGAGGCACTAACCTCCTGGGAGGGCAAAGGGACCTGTGACCAAGAGCAAAACGTCGCTCAGGTGTCTGCTGGCAAAAGCCTTTCATTCAAACCCGTGCCTTTCCTCCACAGAAGGAAAGTTTGGATGCTGAGGGAGAAAGCTGGCTGGAGAGGACCCTCCACTCTCCGGGACAGCAGCAACACACACACCTCACAACGGCACCAACCCTAGCGAAGCCCTTGCTGGACAGAGCCACCCAGCACCATTCTCACGTGCAGAACATCCCACAGCTCACTGGGGTTAGGAGGAGCGTGACAGCCCCAGGTCTCGCCTGCTCCCACCGCACGCCGGAGGATGGAGCCGTGCCGCCGTGTGGGGGACGGGGCCTGCAGGAAAACAGCAAGCACATCCAGGCAAAGCTGTCTCCAAAGGCAGACCTGGGCAAAGCAAGTCTTTGCCCACGTTGCCGGTCTCCTATGAAGACCGGAAGTGGCAGGATCCCTGGCCAGGCTTAGGAACTTCTCCAGGAAATGGGGCGCTGGTGGTGGCGGCGCCCGCGCCGCGCTGGCCCACCCCCCTCTCACCGCCCCCCCCTTCAGCCCCCGCAGAGACGCTCAGTGAAGGAGATGGCCGGTAGCCGTGGAAGGCAGGATGCTTCCAGGGCCAACGCTCCTTTCCCCACTGCTGCAGGGGCTTAAAAGAGGAGCCAGGAAAGGAGAGGAGGGTGCAGCTGGCACCGAGAAAGCAGCATCCAAGCAGGCCAGACGTGTTGTTGCTCCTGCTGGCTGCCCTCAAACCTGCTTGACAGAGAGGGGATGCCACAGGCAGAAAACCCGGTGGAAGTGCCCAAGCTTTGCTGCCTCCTCCTAACCACCTCCCTCCCTCCTCTTCAGCTGCTGAGGGACAGAGAACAAATGTCTCCATGCCGTAGAAGGGGACAAAATTCACCCGGATCTGCTCAGACAAGTGTCAGCAACCACCAGGGAGACAGACAACGCGCTCGAATCGGCCTTGAAACCCTGGCAAGAAAGACGGGAGGCAGAGAGGAGATGCACGTTGTCACTCGCCGGCTTTCCAGCCCCGTGTGTCCCCAAAAGGGGATGGCTGCCCCGCACTCCTCCATCCTGCTCTGCCTGCACTGAAGCTCAGCAACGTCCTCGCCTGGAGCTCACCCATCCTGCAGGACCTTGCCCTCCCTTCCCCTTCCAAAAATTTTGCCGCTGCACAGGAGCATCCTGGAGGGGAAACAGAAACAGATGCAAATGAGAAGAAAGAAAAAAAAAAGATATATATATATATATATATCTATATCTCAGAAGCAACATCATCCAGGAGGCAAGGACATGTGCGAGATGGCTCACTGCTGTCCTCGTGTGCTGTGAGAGGGAGATGCACGCGGGGCTCTGCAGAGCGCTGCTGACCAGGCAGCACTGGCAAGAATCGCTCGCCCCCCAAAAAAAGGGAGCAGGAGCAACGAAGAGAGCCCCGTGCAGGTGAGGAAGGAGCGGCTCTGCTTTGCTGTGCTTGACAGAGGCTGGGATTTGGGCTGGCACCACCAGCCAACCTGCTTTTCCAACGTGTGCTCGGTCTCCAGCACCAGCCAGGCTCCCGGCTCTGGTGCCAGGAACATCAGCAGCACAGGAGACCCACAGCACGGCCAAGCCCCGGGTGATGCCTGCAGCTTTGCAGCAGAGCTGTGTGCCATAGAGCTTTCCAGCATGACCACTAAAGAGAGAGGAAAAGGCCACCCCCACTATATCCATGCAGCAAGAGCAAGAAACGACACAAGTTTCATTTCCCAAGTTTGCCTGAAGTGGTCAAAGGGCTGCAAAGAGGCCTCGGTCCTGCGTAAAGCCCCATGGAAACCAGGTACATGAAGGTTAAAATCGTCATAACTGATGAGAAATACCAGCAAGCGGGACAGTACCACAAACAGCAGAGCTGTGAACCTTGAAGGTGGACAAAAATGGAAAGAAAAATCTCTTCACAGGGCACTGCTGCTAGAGATGGAGCCACTGCAGTTCCCAAAGCGTGCTCCATCCGAACATAGAGAGCATTTCATAGCACGTGAGCACTCAGGACTCAAGGAAAATCCAGATAAAACTCCTTGCAACAACCATTACCCCTCATGTAGCGAGCACAGCTAATTCACCCGCAGCCCCAGAGCAATGGGGGAAACAGGATGGGGTGCTGGGGAAGCTGGACCCACCAGGGCAGCCTCCCCATTCCCTCCCCTCTCCATTTAACTGCAAGCACTTCCTCAGCAACACCAACTGGAAAGTTTTGCCTTCTGCCCTGCCGGGCAAAGGCCATCGCACGCGAGGAGAGGAAACCCTCCGTTGCGAGCACTGAATATCCAAGCCCAGGCTTCCCTCCTGCAGCCCTTGTTCTCTGGGGTGAGACAGCATCAAAACGAGGAAGGGCAGAGTACACATTCAAAAATGTAGCTTTCTTGGAGATATTAGCTATAAATATCTCCAGCAGGTCGAGGGAGGTGATCCTGCCCCTCTACTCAGCCCTGGTGAGGCCACATCTGGAGTATTGTGCCCAGTTCTGGGCTCCACAGGACAAGAGGGATGTGGAGCTGCTGGAGAGAGTCCAGCACAGGGCCACAGGGATGATCAGGAGCCTGGAACATCTGCCCTACGAGGAGAGGCTGAGGGAGCTGGGCCTGTTCAGCCTGGAGAAGAAAAGGCTGAGAGGGGACCTGAGCAGTGTCTAGAAGTACCTCAAGGGAGGCAGTGAGGAGGATGGTGCTGGACTCTTTTCACTGGTGGCCACAGACAGAACTAGAGGAAATGGCTGGAAACTGAAACACCAAAAGTTCCACAGGAACTTAAGGAAAAATTTCTTGACAGTGAGGGTGCCAGAGCACTGGAACAGGCTGCCCAGAGAGGTTGTGGAGTCTCCTTCTCTGGAGATCTTCCAAACCCACTTGGATGCAGCCCTGTGCCACGTGCTCTAGGTGACCCTGTGTGTGCAGGTGACCTCTAGAGGTCCCTTCCAACCTTAGGCATTCTACGATTCTATGAAACGTCTCACATGAGCAGGAGTTGCGTCTGACTGGGGAATCCGAGAGCAGCGCGTCGCTCTCCCACTTGCAGCAGCAATAGGCGCTTGCAGCAGCAACAGGCACACCTGCACCTACAGGAAAGGGGACAACAACCACAACCTGCCATGGGAGACGCTCCTGTGGGACCTGTCACTCCTTCGCGGGGAACAGGAACCCTCAGCTCCCCCACAAGGCAGACAGGAAAAGCTTTGGAAACGACTGGTTCTCCTATTAATAGGACAGCTCTGCCTGGAAGGAGCAAAACTCCCCACTGCGTTTGGAGGGCGACTCGTCTCACCCGTCCAACGCTCGAGGACGGGTTAGTCCTTGAGTGCAGGAAGGTCTTAACTGTAAGCTAAGGGCCCCCGCAAGCAAGTACAGGTCAGTTTGGGCAGAAGTGCTTGGCTGGAGCTGGGCACAAACCTGCTGCCATATCTAGCCCCTGCTGCAGTGTTATTTTTGTTCCCTGGCAGCAGTGGGAAAAGCTGTCTGGGCTGCTAAAAGATTACATGAAAAGGCAGAAAATGTGGAAATTAATGTTAATTGTGCCCACTGAAATACGGAGCACGGCGCTGGCAAGGGCTCTTGAGCGCCCAGGGAGCGTCGCTGGGCGAGCACATGAAATCAGAGGCCGTCGAGGAGCCCCACAACGGCCTCCCCTGGGCCCATCACGAGGCAGAACCAACCGGGAGGCTCCGGCCACCTCCCCGAACGAAGGGCTCTCCTTCACCTTAATCCCGGCACAAAGCTGCCATCCAGTGCTTTTACCTACTACCTTCCAGCTTTCCAAATCCCATGTTCCTTCCTCTCCAGACCCGCTAGCAAAAGCCCCATGGGGACCATCCCCTCTCCATCAGCTGCGCCAGGGTCACCAAAGTCCTGCAGGGAGATGGGGATGTGAGGAGCACACCCGGAACCGGACTCGAGGGGGCTTCCTGGATAGGAGCCTGTCTGCATTTCACTGCCATGGGGCCGGGGTGCTGTAGGACACAGCCATTTCCACGGTTCCACAATTTCCTCATGGCAAAAGGGTCTGGCTTTGCTCACAGGCCAACATCACAAACTGGTTGAGATCTCTGAGCGGACCAGCCTCTGCTTCCCTGTGCAAAGAGATGTTTCAAGCCACATCATGGTCACCACAGCACCAAGGAGGAGCAGCAGCAGCTAATTTCTCCCCTCAGCAACGTCCTCCACGGGGAAAAGGATGGATCCCACCGTACGCAAGAACAAGGTGCCCATCGAGAACCAGGCCCAGGCCCTTTCTGACTTGCCGTGAGGCCAGGCAGCCGATTCCATGTACGTCCCAAGCACAATCTCCCTCCCAGTGCTCGGCTCAGGCGCTATCAGTGCCGTAGCCCATGGCCTTGCGGTCTGTGAGGGAGCAGCCGAGCCCAGGCCAAGCGCAGCCCCCTCCTTCCTCGCTGGGAACGACCCAGGGCAAAAGGCTGCCGTAGCCCGAGCTTTCCTCCTAGCTCCATCCTTCCCTGGCCCTTCCTCAGGCACCACCTGCCTGGCCAGCTCTTCCCAGTAACGGGACGAGGATCCCCCAGGAAGGCTGATCTCATCACCCAGTGCTACCCAGGAGCTGCAGTGGGAAAAAACAGGCTCGTGTCCTCCTCGAGCTCCTGGATGCTCAGCCTCTCTCAGGACTGTGGCGTCTGAGACCGGCTCACTCAGAGCACAGACCCTGTCAGAGCTCCTGACACCCCAAAAACGCCCCAGCCAAGACGGACAAGGGCACGAACAGACCCAATCTGCAATAATCACGGGGCAGAGAGCAGCCTGGAGGCAGCCTTGCTCCTCCCGCCAGGCCTAGCCTCCTGGGAGCACCCGGCCCTCCCTGTCAGCAAGGGTTAGCGCCAATACCTGCTGCAGAGGCGGCAGGAGCAAGTGGCTCAGCGGGAAGGAGCTCTGGAGCTCTGAAGGCACCAAACCCTCCTACCAGAGCTCCTGCTCCTAGGAGAAGAGCGCAAGGATTGACGTTTGTGAAGTTCCAGCTTCCAAGCAACTCCCAGCTCAGTCCACTTGTCCAGAAGGATCCAAGAGAGAAGCAGTTTCCCTGTCTGGAATCACAGACAGGAACTCCCAACCTGATGCACAGATGTAGGGCCAAGAAACCAGCTAGAGACCCTGCACAAGGGCCAAGAAACTGACTAGAGATCCCTGCCACTTTCCTTCACAAGGGCCCTGCTGTGTCCTGCCACATCCAGGAGATTGCCTTGTCCCTCAGTGGGGACGTCAAGTCCTTCCAACAGCATCAGCTGCCCTGCTCCATCTCCAAAAGCAACAGAAGAGGAAACAACATCCCGACGACGGGCTGCAAGAACAAAAGACAGTGAAAGGCAGAACTAGCCTCTCTGATCCATGCCATGTGCCACTTAGCCCATACACCAGACCATCCCCATCTATTCCCACCCCTCATCCAGTCCAAACGAGACATTCCTTGCGGGCAGAATTGTCCAAGCTTATGGGCCAGACCCCGTTTCTGCCCAAAAGAGAGGTCCCCCTTGCCACTCGCCTTCCCAAAGAAGGAGAAACACTGATCCAGAAGCAACAACTGGAAAATGGAAATATGGCATCCAGTCATGCCCTAAGATACAGGGACACCTCTACCTAGGCAGCTGAAGGCACCAAACTGCACCAAGCATGGCCAAGTTCAGGACTTTCTTGCCTCTCTTCTCTCCTGCCACACTGCAGCCCTGGCTCTGCTCAGGCAGGTGTCACCCAGCCCCGGAGGGTCCCTCGGGGAGGGCCGGCCAGCTCAACACCCGGGGACCAGCAGCCCCGAGCGAGAGCTGCTACCATCCAAGCGCAGAGCCCCACCGCAGTGGGCAGCTGCGAGCCGCCCCCTGCTCCCTCCTCCCTCACAACATTCCTCCCGGGTCACATCGGCTATTGTGGAATTACCGGGGAGCCAGACTGTCTGCCAGGGACAAACGGCCAGCCACTGCCATCCGGTGCCCTCGGTGCCACCTCGTGCTGGCAGCCAGGCTGCCCAGCCCCTTGCTCCACGGTCACCTGCTCTCGGTGCTGCCTCGATTGCACCCACCACAGCTCTTAGGTCTGGTTCGTAGCCATTGGGCACTAAACTTGCTGCTCGCCTCAGTGTAAAACACAGCAGTAACAGTTGCATCACACGGGAGACCAGTCGCCTCCCCAAACACCACCTGAGGGTTCAGTAAGAAGCACTAGGAGATGGAAAGCCTAAAGGGAAACTCCAAAATACAGGAGAGAGGGAGAATGGTGAGGAGTATGGATAAGGATAGAGCACAGTGACTAGAAATCATGTTTTGAGCCACAGAGTAGAGGCTGCAGTTCTGAAGGAGTCTTGGATTCCAGCAGATCCGTCAAGCAATGGTCACCTCAGGAGGACGGACACCGGCGTCCCCTCCCCAAGAGGATCGGGGATACAACTTGTTAACAGGCCTGATCAGGAGAGGGCAAGTTACGCTCAGGCACTGCCTGCCAGCAAGACTTACCCAAGAGAGCGTTTCCAGGTGCCTTTCCACACAGATCATCCTTTACAGATGTGGGAGAAGGGGCTGAGTGAATCCCAGTGATGCCCTGAGGAGGATGAGCCGCAAGTGCCCCGAATACCACGAGGGAGCAGCCCCCGCCATGAGCCCGAGCTGCAGCCACGGGCCGAGCAACGCCCAGGCCGTGTGCAGGCCCCGCCGCGCGCCTCTTACCGTGTGAGGGTTGTCGTAGTAGACGCCGATGGAGCAGAGCTTCGAGGAGATGCTGCAGCCGTCCGTGAAGAGCTGCCCCGACTCGCCATAGGGCCCGACGCGGAACTTGTAGGCCAGCGTGATGCTGCCGACGGGCGGGGAGCCGGCGCTCACCACCACCTCCGTGAAGAGGCCCGAGTAGACGGCGAAGCCGAAGACCGTCAGCAGCAGCAGCGCAACAAGCGCCCCAATCATCCCCAGGAGCACCCAGTCCGTCATGGTGCCCGAAGCTTCCCACTCCACTCACAAACTATCGGCAAGAAAAGAGAAAAAAACAAAGAAAGAAAAAAAAAAAAGGCAGGGGAGTTAAGCTAGTCCTTGCAGAAAGCGGTCATCCTCTACAGCTATTTTTTTTTCTAGCAAAAAGCACTCACTTCCAATTCCTCTTCCTTATGCACAAAGGAGGTTTAAAAGCAGCTGAGCCCCCCGCCCCATAACCCATCCCAGATTAACTCTGCAAATTAATCCCACGTTGCTTTAGCTTGCTCCAACTTGGTCACCACATACAAACGGTGTTGCTCTGACATCTCTTGGGAATTAAGTGGTTAAAGAAATGGGGAAAGGAGGGCACTATCCTCATCTCCCAAAAAAACAGCCAAACTACCCACATTCAGCATTTATGAGAGACTGAAAACTAATCAAGAAGCCCATATCACTGGGCATATCATAAATAGATATACGGCCCTGGGCTAAAAACTATATAACCATAATTTATCACCTATACATAGCGGTCTCTACATTTTGACCCAGGCAGCTCCCCTGGCAAAAGTTTTGAGCTAGAATCCCATTCTCCAAGGAGCTAAACTAGAATTAAAATGCTCTTGAGACAAGCCTTGCACATCTAGAACCAAACACACCAGGAGTCTCAGAAGCAGCAGCTAAAAGCCCAGCTGGAAAAAAAAAGCATCTCCAACACACTAAGGTGCAGTGAACTACTAATATTTATTTTAGATTACTTCATTAACATGCAGGAGTCTTTAAAACCCCAATCAAGACGGGCTGTTTTGTTTGAGTTTTGCTGACTGCACAACACACCACCTTGGGGAATGTCCCTTGCCAGTTTTCATCCCCCGAGCACATTCACTTTGGGGAATCTTAATCCACCACAGAAAAGGAAAGTTGTTTATATTTTCTTCTCCGCTGAGACACCATTCTGATCAAGCAGATCATTTGGGAAATTCCTTGGGGATGTCTAACAGGAGTCTAGGTTGGAGATCTAGAATTTAAAATAAACAATTCATCTTTGACTCTATTTTATAAACATGCCTCCTCTGGAAATTTTTTTTTTTTTTTTAAAAAAAGGTTTTCACCTCAGCTACTGCTCTCTCAGGCTTATAAAGGGCAAAAAGCCACAGCCTGGTAAGAATCCCACACACTTCAGCTCCTGTTGCTACCCAAGGCAAGTGTGAAGGGTTGGAAGGGACCTCTAGAGATCACCCAGCGCAATGGCCCTGCTCAAGCAGGGTCACCGAGAGCACGTTGCCCAGGACTCTGTCCAGGTGGATTTTGAATATTCCCAAGGATGGCTACTCCACAACCTCCCTGGGCAGTAAAATCAACCATGCAAAGCCAGTGTCATCAGCTGCTGCCCTCTGCCTCAGCATCAGGGACAGGCTGATCAGTTTGCACCACACACCAACTCACCTGAAAAATCAGAAATGCTCAGCCTAGAAAAGGCTCATGATCCCTTCCTGATACAGGAGCAGGGTCCCTGTCTCTGCAACAGGAAAAAATAAATAGCATTACTTCCTTTTGAGGTCACAAAGCCAAAAGCAAAAAAATATTTTTCAGAAATGAACCTATATCGAACCATCCTGAAGGTATTTTGTGGCACTGGGAATGGGCTCCCCGCAAGACAGAGATCATGAAAAGCCACGCTACAAAGTTTTACAGAAAGGCAAAGATTTCTTTCCCAAACACCAAGATCAAATGAAGAAAATCCAAAAGCAGCAACATGGCTGGAATGAGGACAGTCATCTGCACCAGCACCTGCCAACACATCTTACTCCTGGCCATCCCCCTTGGCTTTGGCTCTTCCCCACAGCTACTCCAGAAGAATTTGGCCTCTACTTGCAGCCCCCTCTGCTTAACCTGGCGCAAGCAGCTGTACTCAACACCTTTTCTGCAGTAACCATGAAGCAACTCTCAAAAGTTCATTATTTACCCATCTTGGTATTTTTTTTTTTATATCCTATCAAATCAGTCGACTTGGAAACGTTAAGGATTGCAGATTTCTCAGGACGAGTGGATTGTTTCAGCCTCTGCTTTCCACAATTCAGTTCAACTCGTGCCCGGGTCTCTAACCATGTGCAATACACACGTGATCTGCCATCCGCCCTCGTCAGGGGTGACAGGATCCGAGTTTGCACAGTCCCTTTCCAAGCTGGCATGCAGCCAGGCAGCAGAGAGATCTCTTAGCTAATGGTTAGACCTCCTCTCCATGGGGCACTACATTCTCGAATGAGACAGGAGGATTTGGCATTGTAGGAAGAATTTGACCCAAACGGGTCAAACAAAGACAATATTCCATGCCACCTGGGCAAGAAAGCACCCAATGTGCTGTTTTTGTTTTGCTTGCTTTTGGGGTTTTTTTTTTGCCCCAAACCTGCTCAATCTGATCTCAGAAGGGAGACCACAGGGTTTGCATCGCTGCCCTGCGCCGAACAGCCAGGAAGCAGAAAGCACACGCTGGGCCCAAAGGGAGGCAGGAGGAAATCGGTGGGGGATTAATAAACAAATAAATAAATAAAGCGACAGGCACAACGAACAAAACCACCGAGAAATGACGGATGAGCGCAGGGGTCCGGGGCGCCGCGAGGAGGGCGCGTTCCCCGCGGCGAGCCCGGCCGGCGCCTCCCGCCGGCTCCGCTGGTGCTTCCTGCTTCCCAGCGGCGGGGGGGGGGGGGGG